ATGAGATCAAAATCGAAGCAGGTGTTGTCACTATGGCTTGAGGGTTTCCGAGAAGCTTGTTCTCTTCACCGTGTTGTCATTCTCTGTCATAGGTCCCTCTCTCAAAGTGATTCGTGTCCTGATGATCATTGAGAAACTTAATTTCATACTAATCTTAAAGTCGTTTGGTTTTGATTTGGTGGTATAGGTCGAGAAAGCTCCTATTACGAACTGGGCAGTGTTTTCTTTTGAATGGTTTGATTTTCTTAGGAAGGTAAAAATTTCATCTTTATGGTCTCTCTACTTTGCCTTTCTTTTGTTTGATTGCATATAAGTGATCCTATTGCGCTTGGAAAAAACGACGTTATGATTGACTTGTGATTCAGAGAAGAAGATTGGATTTTAGTATGAGGTAGATTAATTTGCAATTGGGTCAAATCTACTATAGAAAGTTTGAGACTTGATTAAAGCAGAGGGCTTGTTATGAATTGAATTCGCTCAATTCGATACTTTTAACTCAAGAAAACTTCTATTACGAACATGGCAGTGTTTTCTTTTGAGTGGTTTGATATTCTTAGGAAGGTAAAAATTTCATCTTTATGGTCTATTTTGCCGTTGTTTTGGTTGCTTGATTGCATACAAGTGACTCGATTTCGCTTCAAAAACGAAGACTTTCTGATAGTTTATGATCCAGAGAATAAGTATTGATTTTGGGATGAGATTTAAATTAAAGCAGAGAGATTTGTATGAATAGGTTCTATCAAGTCTACTTTTAGCTTACTTTTGGTTTTTATTTTCGAGATTGGTGCAGTTTAGGTGTGTTTAAGTGGTTTATAGATCCAGCCCTTCAGTGGATATTACCTGATCAGTGCTCTCCCCTCACTTCTCAAGAATTTTGTTCGTATGGTGGATTTTATGCCTTTCTACGTGGTGGACTTTTGCAGCTCTTTTACGTAAGTATCCCACATAGAGATTTAGGTAGTCTATTGTGTGTTTGAGGTTTAAAGAGCCTTCTTGTTGGAGGATTTTGTATTTTCCTTTTTGTCTTTTGTTTTGATCATCAGTCTTCAGAAGTGTATATCCTTTTTTCCGTTATCTGACTTAGAAAGAATGCTCTTATTATGGCTACAGGTTTTTTGGTTCTATCCTCTGTACATGCTCAGCTTCATCTTGAGTAACATCTGGTAGCCTTCTTGCATCTTTTCTTTAGTTATGCCTTTTGTTTCCTTATTCTACTTCTCAGAATTGTGACAAAATCCTTGAATATCACTCAACTCACATAGTATAATTAGTAGTTGAAAAAATCTTGTACCTCTGGACCTTCACAAGCTGAGAATTGCCAATCGAAAACAAGTTTATATTCTTTTCCATTATGTTAGGTTTGCAGTTCTTGTCTCCATCTTTTTTATGTTCCGCGAACATTGAGGTTATGGGGACCATTTAATTTTCAGGTATAATGATATTGCAAAACATGGGTTCGAGGCAATTGAAAAATCTGACATAAGCTCAGCAGAAGCATTAAGAGAAGGTGAAGCTCCGGCGTCACTGAACTCGGCAAATTCTGAAAGGCCTTCTGGTCTTGGAGGGTACTGGTCTACCATGTCACTACTTCAAAACCAAAAAGAACGAAACTGTTTGTAGGTGCTAACCAATTTCCTTTTGCCATGGATTCTTTTCAGGGTGATGATCGGTATAGGAGAGCAGGTGTATTCGATACTTCTCCTGACATTTTTTTTTCTAGAGGTAAATGGTTTCTCTTTGTAAATCTCCATTGAATTTATACGTTTTCTTATTCGGCTATGATAACAGATGTGATAAGCTAATGGGCTGAACAAAGCAGGTTTATGTTGTTGGTGTTATACCATACATCGGGAAGATACTGAATTTCTTACTTCTTTCATGGATGTATGCCTATTATTGTTACGAGTAAGTTGTCATCTCTATCATATACTTGAGCCTAGTTGATGGTGCCAGGAAATGAAGTTAGTTAGACTTTGAAAACTCACCAGTTCCAGGTTCTCATTGCAGATATAAATGGAACTTCTCTGGGATTCCTCTGGAGAAAAGGCTAGACTTCTTTGAATCTAACTGGGCATTCTTTACTGGTTTTGGTAATCTTTTCTACATTATTGGTCCATTGGCGACATTGATATAAGGAGAAACTAAATGCTGGCTTTTGTTTGGTTTTCAGGAAGCCCCTGCGTGTTGGCCATTTTCTTTCTCTCGCCGCTTGTGAGCGGAGCGCTTATGGCCATCTTGTTTCCATTGGTAAACGATTTTTTCTTCCCTTTTTCACTGTCTTGTATACTGTATCTTAACAGAACCAGTGTTAACAGAATGTATGCAGTTTGTTTTAACTGCTACAGGATCAGGACCTGAAAAATCGATTGGGGCCCCGAGAAGAACGTGGAAATGTGCAGGTTTAGGGAGGCTTCCAATATTCTATGTAGCTGACACTCTCTCGTAAGCCAATTTCTCTCTCAATCTCATGATGTTAAAGCTTCGTATCTAAAATCTCTACTGGTCTCATAAAAGCATGTACTAGTAAATTCAAATTCGTAAAGAAACAATCCTCATTATTCACTGCATTAAAAATGTTAGTTGTGTTTCCATGAGGATATAACCAGTACTTGCGATAATGATTTTATTAGTGTGTTTTGTTTATTCATTGGCTGAAACTCTAAGTCTCTAAGCTTAAGTTACAAATAACTGCCTTTGCTATTCAAGGATGTTGGCGTTGTCTATCTTCCGGTTGGAGTCCCCGCACGAGATTTAACTTGAAAAGACAGGCTGAAGTTGAAACATTATCGCTGCATCTCTCAGTCTTCGAGGCTAGTCAGAAGATTATTTGCATTTGTGTTGATAGTCGATACCGTCTTCTTGGTGATATGTCAAGTACAGACTTGTGCTTCAGCAATTTCCGTGCGGCTTTGAGGTATGGTCATCTGACACGCACGCTCATGGCCGACATGCTGCTGCAAACTCCAAAGCAACAGACATGAAGAAAGCCAGACTCATATTACAAGAAGTGTTTGATTGTAAAATAATAGAATCCGTATTTAGTGTTTTAGTCATTTTACTTGTTCATCTAAGCTATAAAGTGTTCTCCGGTCATATGTGTAGGTTAAGTGATAAGTTTTAACTACTCCGATATGAAACCCAGAACTTCATATTCAATTAGATAAGATCCAACAAATACAAAGACTGTAATTGCTAGTAATCAAGAGGATCAATTGTTCTCAAGCTCTGACACAAAGACGTTTACAAGAGATCAGCATAAATCCCTTCTCTGGCACATCACCAAGCCAAAAGTCTCAGCATAAAAGCATGAATCTCACAAATGAACTACAACGGTTATTTAAGCTTCCACCAGAAATTGTTGAAGATAAATCTCTATTTCATGAGCAGAATGTGGAGGTTCTTTTTAATGAAACTGGGGGCATGAAATTTCTCATTCAGTGGCAGGATCGTGCCGTCATAGAGAATTCGTATTTGAGGAAGAGAATCAAGCAAAGTTAGGTGATTGCTGATGAGTTTGGAAGCTGAAAGGAATCGAAACACAAAAACAAGTGAAGACTTTGATCGAAAGGGAGGCTTTGCTACAGAAGAAGACTCGGATAGAGAAAGAGTCTTTGCTGATACATAAGAAGGGATCTGTTGGTCTTAAGTTGAGAGAAATGGAAGACATAATGGATTTTCGAGGAATCAGGAAGCTTAAGGCAATAAGCCGTAATGCCAATACGCTCCACAATCTAAAAAGGACCAAAGAACTTTGCAGATAGCTTATAGCAAGGCCGGCAAACCACCGCCTGTTGTCGGTAGGGTTGCAACTTCAAATATACCCAATCACCAACCATAAACACCAAATAATGTCGCTTCTTATCTGCATTGCGTTTCATAACATCCTGAGCTCTCTATAAATTAGTCCTGATGTGCTCCAGCAATAAATCTCTCTCATTACTCTCCTGTACCCGTTACTCGTCTGGTGCCCGCCTTGAAAAAACAAGTACTCGTTGTTGTCAAAGCAAATACCAAATAATATAATTTAGATACTTGTAAGTACAAGCCAAATAACAAAGTAGTTAAAAAAACTAATAATCGTCTTGTTTGACTCGTTACTTGTTATTGTTTTACCATTTTATAATTTATATACATATATTTCATATTATATTAGTTACAATAAATTGTTTATTAAAATTAAAATATTATTGTTGGATTACTAAACCGTTATACTTATAAAAAGTATTGACAAAAAAATATCACAAATTTTTTTTTTAGAATCATAATTGCCCACAATACAACTACAAACCTAGTTAAATAATACTTTTTTTGTTTTATAATATTATAGAATATTTTGGAGAAAACTTTTGTTTCACAATATATGATTTTTTCAAGGTTTTATACAAATTATAAATTATTTCTATATTTATAATTATTTATATTATGCATTGTTTTTTTTTGAGTGATTGAACTTTTTTAAAGTAGATATTTTTAAATCTACGTATTTATAGCTAAAAAATCTTATATTTTGAAACGAATGGAAAATTGTTTTTGTAGTTGCGGCAAGCCTTTTCTTAGCTGGATGCAGTGTATATATATGATTACGCTATAATGGATTTCGTTTAGACTACTAATTCTTTTTAGAAGTTTTAATAAGATAGTCGATAGAAAATGTCAATGGGTTTGGTAGGAATGGGGTCACCTTTACTCATCTCTCTTTATCTTTTTGGTACATTAAATGATTTAAATTTTAACCCATCAAATGCAGTAGACGTGGAGGAATGGTGCCCACTCCACATAATTTATATGATGGTCCCTTAGTGGGTCTACTTACATTAGCACTCAATATAATGAAAACTCATCATTAAGATTTTACACTGTTTCTTATAAAACTAATTATGTTCGTCGGCATCGCTTTGTTGAAAGTTTCACAATTATTTCACATTCAACAAGTGAAATCATAGGAAAGGTTTGAAGAAGCTCGAAGTGATCCTAAGATCATGATAGAAACGTATGTTACATTAGAGAGGAAATCCTAGTGGCATTGCTTTTAAGTTTTAACTCATAACATTGGCCTTATCTTTTTATCATGAGTCATGAGTAAGTCATGAATTTATAGGACATGACACAAGATGGTGTTAGTTTACTCATTCATGGACATGGAAACCATACTAGCTACCCAAAAAAAGAAAACTATACATGTATTTTGCAACACAACCACCATTATGGCCCTTCCGTTACCATAATTTTGTAGGTCGAAACATAATTCGATTATTTTTCCTTACAATGAGAGAGAGAAAATACGCTGAAATGTACATTAAGGTGAGGGAGCCACCATGGGCATGAAAGCACTAGAAGAGGAAGAAGATATGTGAGAATATCTACAAGAGAAAAAACTATGGAACCACATGTGAGGACAGTAGTACTTTTTAGGTTTGACAAAGAACTCCGCACATTCTTGCATCGATCTTTGTCCTGGGAAGAAAGGAATGCAATTGTTACTAACGTCAAGTACACCTCTGTCAAGTAAACCCCTACACCAAGGCCCTACATGCGTGAAATAGTTATTAGACAACGATAAGTTGACAAGATTGTCCCGGAGCAGCATGCAAACTGCCTCCGGGATTGCCCCAAACAAGAGATTCCCAGCAAAGTTGACCTGCTCTACTTTCTCTAGACACATTAGGGAAAGGGGCAAAGGCCCTGTGAGCTTGTTTCCACCAATATCGATCACTGATGCCCCCGTGAGAAACCCGATCTCGTGAGGGATACAACCGGTAAAATCGTTATTCAAGAAGAGTACTTCAGTTAAAGTTGACATTGATCTTAAGATGCTTCTCGGCAGAGGACCGTTGAACTTGTTGTTTGCAAAAGTTAAGAAAAGAATGTGTGTTGTACTAGTACCATCACCAGGTATCTCGGGGAGGCTCGCAGTGAAGCCATTGTCATTGATGAAGAGAACCTCGAGGTTCTGACCGAGGATTTGTGGTGGAATTGAACCAGAGAAAGAGTTGAACCGGATGTCAAGAAACGTCAAACCGGACATACCGACAACTGCGGTCGGAAACTGACCGGTGAATCGATTGTTGCTGATGTCGAGCTCGTAGAGATACCTGAGGTTGACTATCTTGGAAGGCACGGTACCTCCAAAGTTGTTGGAGTTAACATGAAACAGAGCTAAGTCAGGGAATTGATCGATAAATCCTTCGATGGAGGGAGCAGAGAGCTGAAAGCCATTGAAATCGATAGAAGCGACAGTAACTGCGGTTGTGTTGTCCGGAGGATTGTCACAGTGGAAGCCTCTATAACTACAGATGTCTGAACCAATCCATGTCTTGGTTACGTTATAAGGGTCGAGAGTGATGAGTGACTTGAATCTCTGGATCACTGGGTACACCACTGCAAGTCTTTGGTCAAAGAAAGAGAGTATTGCTTGACTCGTGCCGGTGAGGCCATCGTTGGTCAATTCTTGAGTTCCTCTGCTGCTTCTATCTGGTAAAGCGACGGTGCCAACAAGGAAAAGAGCCAAAAGCAAAGGATTCTTCATCTTTGCCACTGAACAAAACTTTGTCGACGATACAAGAGAAGAGGTGGTCTTAGTGTTTATTGTGCCTTACTATTTTTTGTTTTGTTTTTCTCTCTTTTTAGGTGGGTAGGTTTCTTGAGAGTTTCTTACTACTAGCCACTAGGTTTATGAAATATAAAACGTTATAAAAATTTATAAATCATTGGGAAGTAAAATACAAAATGATAACAATCCCACTTTATATTACAACATGACAAAGATGTTAACTTACATGTCACTTTCTCTAAACAAAGTACGTATCCGGTATCAAAGACATCTAATTTTTTTATAACATAAACGCATTAAAACATCTCTAACCTACCTCTATATTTATCTTTATACTTTATTTTAGAATAAAATCTCTTCCAACATATCTCTATGTCCACCTCTGAGATCTTTATTTTTTGTTCTATATATAGAGGATCTCTATAATAGAGTTAAACTTTTTTATTTACAAAATAATTCTTTAACTTTTAATTTTTTTTTTATGACTAAACTAAATGAAATTAATATTTTGGCTTGATTTTAGAGGTTTTAGTATAAATATAGAGAAATTGTTAAAAATGCCCCTTTTGGTGTACCCCTTTTAAAAAATGTCCCTTTTAGATGTCCATTTTCAAAAATGCCCCTTTTAAAATCTGAAATTTTTATAAAGTTTTATTAGGTTTATAAGGTACTTATGGATTGTAACTACTACTTGAAGACTCGATCCAAGTATTTATAAGGTTTTATAAGGTGTTTTTAAAGGTTTTACAAGTTATTTTAAAGGATTTTTAAGGTTTTTCAAAGGTTTTACAAGATATTTTAAAGGTTTTCAAAGATATTTAAAATGCATTTATAAGGTATTTATAAAGTATTTATAAGATTTTAGATACATAGAAATGTAGTTTGTGTATGTTTTAATAATGTTACATACATATTTGGGTAAATCTTATATTTTTAAGAGCATTTTTTATAAGGTTTTAAAGAAGGGGTATTTTTGAAAAGTGGCATTGAAAAAGGGGCATTTTTGCAAAAACCCCATAAATATATGTTCTAAAAATTTGAGACTACTATTTTCAAAAGAGAAATTATATAAAGTCACAAATATATAAATTATATTTTTTTATTAGTTCTATAATAATTTAAAATACAGTACTGCCGATAGTTACACAAAATACACTAATACCAATGGTTAAACAATATGTACTATGTTTTCTTCTTTTTATATGATATAATGTATTTTTAATAATAAATATTTAATTTGAATAATAGCATAGTTATGTAAAAGTTAAAGTAAATGGGTTAATTTGCAATAATTTTGATAAATAAAGGTATTAAACCTAAAATAAAAATAGAAATAATATGGAATGTTCATTTTTAGAGGAAAAAATAGAGGAATACATTAGAGTAAAAGCCACCTCTATTATAGAATTCTATATTTTAGAGGTAAAAATAGAGAATTACAATAAAGAGGATGTACTCAATTAATTGATAATCATCTAGTTTTGTTCATATTAACAATAAAACCTCTTACGTTTTTTGCATGTACTGTTTTCCATTTTAAGTTTCATTCTGTTTATTTTTTATAATTCTTAAATTCACATTTCTTTTTGATTTTTTTTTATATCCAAATATGTAAATTTCTATTAAATGGACTATATTTTTGAATATATATATATATATATATATATATATTGTTTAACTTTATGCCAGTTAATTTTTTGTTTTTGTTATACATTTGTGGGTTTTGCCAATTTATCTTAAATATTTTATATTTGCCATTTTTTTATATCTAAAAACACAATTTTACACACTATGTTTGAGTTTTTTTTTGTTCCATTTTTTAGGGTTTAGTGTTTGTAATTATGTATTTTTTCCTCAAACAAAGATTGTATTGATAGAAACATAACATACATCGACAAAGAAAAAGCCCAACATCATCAAATAGTTTACAAAGACTACAAAAAAGTCCAACTAGCCTAACATTGCGTCACTTAGAAGAGAAGATTGGATCAAATTAGAAAAATCCCAAGACACATGTTAACATCAAAGACGCGTGTAACATGAGGAGAAAAGTTTTCCATCATCATCCTTCTGATCGAAACTAGGACCGAGTGAAGATCAAAGATAGATTTTTTTGTATTTCTCAGACAACTCTTCTGTTGAATAAATATCAATCGAAGCTTTAACATAAAAGATACAGCTAAAGGCATGCAATAGTAATAAGCTGAGGAACGTGCTTTGAATCTTCAACTAAAATCGTACTGATGCGTGATTTATTTCGCCTCAAAGTTTTTTCTTAGAGACTACACGGAATATTGCAAGTGCACAGTTAATCAGATGTAGTATTTAAAGATCGATCCCACATAGACTTATAAGTACGATATGAATTCAATGGAAAGGAATATGTCTAAAACAAATAAAAAGAGGGGTTTGGTTTTGGGTTGTAACTAACAAAATAAGAGAATTAAAGCAAAGCAAACGATTAGGGCTATCAATAAACGAGAAGTTGGGCTTCAGAAATTTCTCAGGGTATCATGGATCGGGTTATTCTAGGGTTTTAAACAAAGGAATACATATGCTTTTTAAAGAGTTCATGAACTACGAAACACTTATGTAAAACCGTTTAGCTTATGACTAAACGACTATCTAAGTCTAACAACTATGTTACTAAAGTAAAGCATACAACGAGGAGATTAAACCAGCATGAATAACGAGTTCGATTATAGTTTGTAAAGCCCTATAACTAAGTGGTGTGTGTTTGTTATAACACGATACTCACATCTAGGCTAGTGAACACGGGTTTATATACTTTTGATGCATAAAACCACCTTAGATCAATTGCAAGTTAGCTATTCAAGCAATATGCATTAAGAACAAACCTAGAACGAAGAACAAAGATGACCTAAATATAGATCTAAGAAACCCTATAAAACAGATCCATAAATCCCCTTTGAAACCCTTATACCCAACGAATAAACTACTCACACATACTCAAAAAACACAACATCATATGAATAAGAGATTGCATAAAAGAGTATGAGTATAGAAAAGGGTTTAGAAATCTTCTCTGTAAATACAGAGCGATCTAGAGCGATCTTGCTTGCCCTTCTATGAGAGCCTTGAGTCTCTTTATATAGCGATGATAAACCGCCTCTCCAGCGATATTCTCGGAAGATTTCCATTTATCTTGAAGTCGGCTAGAATATCGCGGATTAGGATAGTTTCCTTATTCTTCGGAGTTTTTTGGAACATTTCCTGATTTGAGTTGATCCTTCGAGATTCCTCCCTATCATTTCCGGGTTTATCGGAAATGATCCTTCTTTTCGGAAATGACACTTTGCTTGGAAATGATACTTCGAGGGCGAATATTTTACCAAGTCCTTGCTTCGGGTGACTCATGATCTCTCCTCGGGCGATTCGGAAGCTGATTGGCGTTTGGCTCGGATATCGGAGAGACGCGAGCCGGGCTTCCGAAGAGAATCGGCTCGGGTATCAACAAAAAACAGTTCGAAGATAACCGGCTCGGGAATCCGAAGATAACTGGCTCGGGTATTCGAAGGGAGCTGGCTCGGGTTCCCGAGCTTACTGGCAGATACCCGAGGCGATTAGCATGCTGAACCCTGGGCGATTGGCATGCTGAACCCGAGGCGATTGGCATGCTGAAACCGAGGTGATTGGCATGCTGAACCCGAGGTGATTGGCATGCTGAAACCGAGGTGATTGGCATGCTGAATCCGAGGTGATTGGCATGTTGCCCCGAGGTGATTAGCATGCTGCCCCGAGGTGACTAGCATGCTGCCCCGAGGTCACCTCGGAATTTCCCTGAGGTGTCCAAAGTTTGGTTCGGTACTAAGAGATAGAATCTGACCCCAACAGATATAATCAACGCTCTAACATAACCGTGATATAAACCTAAAGAAAATAAAACCGGATATACTAGAAAAGAGAAAAAGGTGAAAGAAAAAAAAGGAAACCGGACTACACCGTACCGGATAGAAACCGTAAGGTAGCCATCTCCACTGGAAGCGCCGACGATACTAGACGAAAAGCCGACCATGCACTGCTATGAAAGCCAATATACTGTATGTTGGATAAAAGCCAGATACCACACTGGACAGCTTTGCCATATTTAACCAGACGACATAATACATTTAACTGATGAAGAGTTATTTGAGAGTGAAGAAAGAGAAACTCTTAAAAAATAATTATTTAGCATTAATTAAGTATGTATTTATATACAAAAACAATTCACAAATGTATAGTTTTTAACAAATCTGAAATATTTGGGTGACAAAATCAACAATAATCCATTGTCGGGGAGTATATTAGATCATTGAACTTTGCCAAGAAAGAAACGTTAAGGTCCTCGAAGAGCATCCAAATGAACTCAGGCATGGGCAAAAAAATCGGATCCGAAACCCGGACCAAAAAAACCGGTTCGGGGCGAGTATGGGTAAGAGGAAATTATCTCATTGGGTACAGTTTTTGAAAATCCGTGGGTATCGGGTCGGTCCGGATAATACCCATTACCCAAACAGGGTGCCCGAATACTCGAACATATAATTAAATATCAAAAATATTAATTATATATAATTTTAATATAATTTAATTATCTAGAATTACAATTATAAATCTAAATATGTCAATTAACTTTAGACTTAAATACCCAAAACAACCAAACTATCCAAAAATTATTTGTTATGTTTGTCAAAGTTTAGCAAAATGTATTCAAATATAATTAAATTTATTAAAATTTAACAAATTTTTAAAGTTTTTTTTGGGTACCCGATATTTTACGTATAAAACCCGACATTTTACATATAAAATATCCGAACCGAACGGATACCCATATTTTCCGGGTATGTATAGGGTCTAAAATTTTTTACCCAAACCGACCCGAACCAAACGATACCCGAACCGGACCGGATCCGAATATTTAGAAATATCCGAATAGGTCGTAAATTCATTACCCATTTAACCCGAACCTGAACGGGTTACCCATATGTCCAGGCCTAGAACTTATCCAAAAACATTTTTGAGTCGTTTATTTTACAAACGTTATAGATAAAATTGATCACATAATTAAACGTTTAGGCCCGCAGGTTTTTGGCCCATACAAAATACACATTCGGTTTTCTCATGGATAAAACGCCAATCATTATGTGGAGCTGCCTTTACTGTTCCATTAGAAAACAAGACTTTAAGGTCATGACAAGAAATCAAAGAAAGTCGGGAAGACATAGCACTTAGCAGTTGCACAAACTGTTACAAATTATGGTTTACAAGAAACCTATATCGCCAAAAAAACACCAACAATGGTTTCCACCTTACTTGGACATTAATCATCCGTTATAATCATTGGTTATTAGCATTTGTTTCTTTATTTGTTTGTTTCTTAGGATCCATGTTATGAAAAATTTACTATATATGATCATCTAATTAATTCAATTTTCCCAAAAAGAAAAAAAAAAAAAAAAAAAAAAAGCAAATTTCAACTATATTAAGCCTCATATGAGTCAGAGAACCTCTGTTTAACTCTGTCTCCGGGCAATCTCCAACCTATAAACTACCAAACTATAAAAAATTACAATCCATATGCCTCCGGCAACTTATTCATGTCTAATTTCTCAACCATCTTATTCTCTAACCGCAACTCCGCGTCGACTCTAGCTCCCACCTCAGCCGCCTTCTGCCGTATTAACGTCGCAGACATGTCTCCTCCTACACCTTCACCGCCGTTTCCATCTTGTAAGACCTGTTCGGGGAAATTGAGTCTCGCCGATGGACCTCGTAAGTAAAACACAGCGGTGTCATAGGCACGTGCCGCTGCAACCGCGGTTTTATAAGAACCAAGCCAGATCCGTGATCGTTTGTTAGGCTCTCTTATCTCAGCCACCCACTTCCCCCACTTCCTCATCCTTATCCCTTTGTATCGCTTCTCATTGGGGCTCATGAGATTTCTCTTTGGCTTCTCGTTCATGACCATTCCTTCTTTCACCATAGGAAAGTCTTGTTTTCGTTTGTATTCAATCACCATAAAACCCTAAAGTTAACCAAACGTGACATGTCTACGTGTGTTATATATAAAGAGAGCGAGAAGATATGTGTCATGTTAGGCGGCTAAAGATATGCGTTATGTGGCTGCGCCGTCACTTTTTTCTTTCCCAATTTTTTTTTATATTAATTAAACTCAAAACATAGCCGACATACTGTACTCAAGAACCCTCTTTCTTTCCAATTTTACTATTTAACCTAAAACTCTTGTTTGACTTTTTTTTTAGTGTGGAAGACATTGACTGTTGGCATTGCGGTTTAATAAGCAGCTGACAACGGCTGTGTGACGGCTTGTCGACATTTGGACACCCGACGTGGCAGCCCATTCTTCCGGCTACCACTATGCAAAATGCAACACATTCTCCTTCCATCACTTTGGTCTTAACTTCTGTTTTCTTATCAAAATATTTAATTCTTAGATATATTCTTAGCGAGAAAACAATAAATAATCAGACTAAGAAGTGATTAAGGGAAGAAAAAAAGAGCTTATCCCTAAAAATTGTGGTTACGGGTGTAGAAAGAAGAAGAGCTAACAACAATTGATGAAGAAAAAGAAACGTGGTGCTGATTATGGCTTAGGTTGGAGAAGAAGATGAACTCGGCTTTAGATAGAGGCTGAGGCGTAGAAGAAAATGAAACCAAATTAGGGTAAATGACTCAGTATCCTTATATATGGCTGCAGATTCTCGGTTTAAGTAAACCCGATCGGTTACGATTACCGAACCGATCCGAACCGAAATCTGATTACCCAAATTAATTACGCCGATCGGTTAGGAAGAAATTGTTCGGTTTACGCCGATAACCAAAAATGTCGGTTTGATCGGGTCGGTTTGATCGGTTTTCACCGAACTCCCAGCGCTAGCTAAAACATTCATATGTATTGTGCATATCATTTCGTTAAGAGGGGTGTGCCCGGCAAGCTCACTTTTTTTCCCTCCATCTCTTTTTGCTTTAATATATACTTCCAAATATCATATTTTATCGTCTAATGTTTCCAAATATTATTACAAAACAGACTGCTTGGACAGGGGTAGCCCATGGGCCCACCCCTGTCTGACGGCCGGTCCGTTACGTCCGGAAGACTTTAAAGACTTGTTTACCGACCCTACAAATCACCACATGATCTTTCCCTGTATTTTTGTCCTCACTCACACAGTTCCGACAATCACTTCCCGGAATGTCACCCATCCTGAAACTACTTCAGCCCAAGCACGCTTAACTGTGGAGTTCTCTTAGGATGGTTGACCGAAAAGATAAGTGCACTTTGGTGATATAGGTGTCCAAATCAATTCTTTTAAACCTCTCTGCATGCACCACCATATTTCTGAAACCGGAGTGTTACAATTCACCCCCACTAACAGATCGCAACGTCCTTGTTGCGCACCAAGACCGTAACCCCTGACGGTATGAGCCCTCTTGACTCCACACTCGTCTGGGTTCGGCTCTGATATCACTTGTAACGCCCCGGTACCAGTGGGCCCCACGTCCTCTCTCAGGCCCATGGGTCCACCCCTATCCGACGGCCGGTCCGTTACGTCCGGGAGGCTTTAAAGACTTATAAGAAATTGGATAATAATATGATATTTTTGAAACGACATAATGCAAATTTGGATTGCCCAAGATTGCGGGTCAATTTTACTCGAGCAGAGGGTAACTTGATGTTTCAAGGAGTCGATACTCGAAGCGGGCTTATCATTTCGATGATCCAAGCAAAGAAGTTACAGTGGACTGGGCCTGAAGCTTACTTGGCAACAATCTCTATTGACGGAGGAGATACAAGGATATAATTGGAAGATATTCTTGTAGTAGCAGAGTATACATATGTTTTTGAACCGCTCCAAGGACCGCCACCAGATCGAGGAGATGCTTTCACCATTGAGTTAGAGCCAGGGACTGCTCCAGTATCCAAGGCATCTTATCGTTTAGCTCCAGCAGAAATGGCTGAACTGAAGAAATAGCACCTTATCGGTGCGCTTGTCTCAAGATCTCTTCCTTTAGATCTTTATCATCTGGGATGCATACTCGGCCCTTAAAAACGAACGTCCCATTCTTTGTGATATCGTATCCTTCAACTTCACTTTCAACTTCTTTCTTTAATACGACATCTTCTTTCTGTGCCTCACGAATTCTCCACAGTAAGTCAGCTTGGTTTACCGCTTTCAAGCCAACTACTTCATCTTCAACCGAGGCTTCACAAATATTGAGGCTTGTCAAGGCTGAAACAAGCTCTTCCACTTCTTTTGTTGCATTCACATCATGTCTCGTTCTGCTTAGTGCATCTGCTACCTGATTAGCTTTGCCTGCATGGTAAGCAATATCCAAATCATAGTCTGCAAGAAATTATGTCCATCTCCTCTGTCTCAAATTCAAATCTGCTTGAGTGAAGATATACTTCAGGCTCTTATGATCAGTAAAAACTTGTACTTCTCCCCATACAAGTAGGCTCTCCAAACCTTAAGAGCAAAAACCACTGCAGCTAACTCCAAGTCATGAGTAGGGTAATTAATCTCGTGCTTCCTCAGCTGCCTTGATGCATAGGCGATGACTTGACCATCCTGCCTAAGTACACATCCTAACCCAGTTCACGATGCATCTGTATAAACCGCATAAGGTACCCCAGCCTTCGGTAATACCAGTATAGGTGTCTGAGTGAAATGCTCCCTCAGCTTTTTAAAACTGTTCTCACAAGATCAGACATAAGAACCACTTCGAAACTAAAACTTTATAAAACAACTCTAAACGCAGGTTTAGCTCTTTTGGTGCTTTTTATCTTTTGAAAAAAAATACCCTTCCCCTTTATCAAATACTGAAACTTTTTTTTTTTTTTTGAAAACAAATCGTATAAAAAAAACTTTTTTTTTCTTCTTATAAATCTAAAAGATCAAGTCAGCGATGGAGCATTGCCATAATGATGATTACACTCACAAGAAGCTACGTTTATGGGTCTTTCATATTTCCTTGCATTTTAGTTGGTGTCATGGTTGATTCCACATTCCAAGAGAATTATAGGAGGACTGACTTTTTGGTTCAAAGAAGCCAAAGCAAACTTTTATCATCATGATCACCAAGATCAACATAATCTCTAGCTAATTTCACCACAAATAGCAAATAACTCATCAACGATCTGAACTTTACGATTCTCCATTCGTAGCAAATAAAACTCATTGACGAGCGAAACTGTAAAGTGTCATACGTTCTTCAACATCCAATCACCTAAAACTACAATTGTATGTACCATTTTTTATGTAAAAATATTACTGAAAAAGAAATTTTTTATTAGTTTAACATTCTACACAAACACTCTATCAAACAAAGTCAATATAATAACTTTACGAAAGTGACTCTACATAATAACTTTACCTTATAACTTTAACAAATAACTATACTTAAGATCTATATAATAACTGTGTGAAACTAAATTTATTAGAAAACTTTGCAGAACAACTTACCGAAAAACTTTATTAACCAAAGAAACTAAATCTACTAAACAACTGTCCATATTAATTTTTCCAAGAAACCTTACTAAACAAATATATATACTAAAATAATTGTCCAAACCTATTTACCAACTGCCAAATTACTTTACCCGAAAACTTTAGCAAATAACTATACATTAAAATCTGTAGATAACTTTGCAAAATAACTTCACCCAATAACTTTACCAAACAACTATACATGAAAGATCTATATAATAATTGTGCAAAACTATTCATGAAACAATTTTGCAGATTAAGTTTACTAAACAACTATACATTAGGATTCATGAAACTATGACATACCTACTTTTTTGTAGAACTGAAAAAATCGTTTTTAGGGAGTCTGATTTGATTATTACTTATATAAACGAACCTAACCACATATTTTATATAAGTTTGGGAAATTAATTGAAGTTTTATTAAAAATTAGCCTAGATTAGTATGTCATGATCTTTAGGTTTTATCAAAATCCATAAAACAAAAAAAAAAAAAATCAACAAAAAATCTCACGTGGGCTGGTTAAAATTGTGAAGGTAGGTTTAAATTTTGTTTTAATGTTAAATCATATCATTAGATAAATATTGTGGAAGCCCCCTTGGCCCATTGGTTGACCAAGGGTTAATTAATGCTTCTACACCAAGAGGTCTGGGGTTCGAGTCCCAGATATTGCGATTTATTAATAAATTTGCAGATTAAAGGAGGCAAGTGTGCAGGAGATCTCCAGCGAAGTACAATTATAGCCGTTCGCCAGGATTCTACGCCGAGAGAGAAGTGTCGTCAGGTCATGGATCATTGAAGGTGTCCGTCAAGAGAGTGGAGAATGAAGTGTCGTCTGTCGTGGATCTAATAAGGGTCGGAAGGAATTGTCCGTTGTAGAATCGTCTATGTAACAGTTCTCATAATTTGCAATAAATAATAAATCTAGACGTCAAAAAAAAAAAGATAAATATAAGGATTATTTTGTCTTTTGTTGGTGTACGTCTTTAATTTTAAAATATATGGCCTAGATTAATAATTTATGTTTGTTTTTAGAATTTTTTTATAATTTTCCCAAAAAAAGAAACTGTTTAGTATATTGAAGACAAGAAATGGAAGAAAAGATATGCCATAATGACGAATGCAGAGAGATACAGGAGGCATCTAGGGAATACGGAGATATGCCAAGTCTGTAAAGGCGGGACTGAAACTATTATACACGTGCTTAGAGACTGCCCGGCTATGGAAGGTATTTGGACCAGGACTGTTCCGTTAAGTAAGAGACAGAGCTTCTTCGCATCATCCTTGTTGGAATGGTTGTATGCGAATCTAGGGGATGAGACGGAGAGAGATGGTAGCAAGTGGTCCACGAAGTTCGCGATGAGTGTTTGGTGGGGATGGAAGTGGCGGTGTGGAAATGTTTTTTGGTTCAAATGGTCGTTGTCGTGACAGAGTGAGGTTTCTTAAGGATCTAGCTCAAGAAGTCGATGTGGCATATTTAAATATGGCGGGAGAGGCAAGGAAGCCACCTCGGGTGGAACGGCTGATCTGTTGGAAGCCTCCACGGGATGGTTGGATGAAGTTGAATACGGATGGGGCCTCGCATGGTAACCCGGGGTTAGCCACAGCGGGAGGAGTTATGAGAGATGGGGATGGGAATTGGTGTGGCGGTTTCTCCTTGAATATAGGTATATGTTCAGCCCCTTTGGCCGAGTTATGGGGCGTTTACTATGGCCTATATATTGCTTGGGAGAAACGAATTCGCAAGTTGGAGGTAGAAGTGGATTCGGAGGTGGTGGTCGGTTTTCTTACGATAGGGATTGAGGATTCTCATCCATTATCTTTCCTAGTACGTTTGTGCTACGGCTTCTTATCAAGGGACTGGTGTGTCCGTATTTCTCACGTGTATAGGGAGGCCAATCGTCTAGCCGACGGATTGGCGAACTATGCGTTTTCGTTACCTTTGGGTTTTCACATGTTTCAAGGACGACCGGAGTTGATGAACTCGATTCTTTCTGAAGACGCTCGAGGATCTGCAACTCCTAGATTTGTTAGAGTGTAATTTGCTTTTCAGTTTTAAATAAATGGTGGGAGACTTGTCTCCCCCTTTCATACCAAAAAAAAAAAAGAAATGGAAGAAAAGAAAAACCGGGAACGACGTAATTGGGTTGAGAAAGAGGCCGATATGAAAAAGGCCACGTTGTAAGCCCAAACAGTTCTGCTCGGAATGTTAAGATAGAGGCAACTTCACGTGACTTAACCAAACCAACAAACCAACCTCTCTGGTCTCTGCTCAGCTTTTCCGACCAAAGATCCAAGCGCAAAATCAATGGATTATCTCGGAATCGACATGAGCTGCGCGATCGGATCTCTCCGGAACGGTGAGTTCCCGGAGAAAGATTGTCTTCTTCCTCTAATTTCAAAGCTTCTAGGTTATTGCCTTGTCGCTGCTTCAATCACCGTCAAGCTCCCTCAGGTATATAATCAAAATCAACTTCGTCTATAAACTCTTACCCTAATCCCAAAATTGTGACTTGTATTCGTTTTTGCTTATTGATTATATTGTAGATAATGAAAATCGTGCAACATAAGAGTGTGCGAGGCTTAAGTGTTATGGCATTTGAGCTTGAAGTGGTTGGTTACACAATTTCACTTGCTTATTGTTTGCATAAAGGTCTTCCCTTTTCGGCTTTCGGCGAAATGGCTTTTCTTTTGATTCAAGGTAGGAGAATTACAATCAAGAACCCTACTCTTGAATCTTGATTATACTATTTAACAGTTGTGTTTATCATTAATATACGACAATTGACACTAATATGATTTATAAATAAATGGGAAAACTTTATGATATATGTATGCTTATTGTTATGATTTCTGATATTCTTGTCTCTTATTATTTTTGCAGCTTTAATCTTGGTTGCTTGTATCTATTATTATTCTCAACCAGTACCTGTAACAACTTGGATCAGACCACTTCTGTATCCTTTCGGTTTAGGAATTTCTTACCTTTTGACTTTAGAATTTCTGGTTTAGCTTTTTCTTAATGTTACGCCAATATAGATATTGCGCTGTGGCGCCAACTGTGCTTGCTGGACAGATTAATCCTACGCTTTTCGAAGCTCTTTATGTGAGGAAAAAGTTCCTGTATTATTCACTTTAGGCTCTCTGTGTGTCTGTGGATACATTTTGATAGTGTATATTTGTTGTAGGCTTCACAACATGCGATATTTCTCTTTGCAAGACTCCCTCAGATATGGAAGAACTTCAAAGTGAGTCTATACTAGAATACTCATTTTCCTTCTTTTGTTTCGTTGATGAATCTTCTTGTTCGACTAAGTTTGAATGGTGTTTTGCACTTGAGTCACGTTTCCAATGGTTGCAGTAATCTTTCATTTCACGGCTTTATGTTCCATTGATCGATATATGAGTAACTGCCATAGTATAGTTTACCTTGCAATACTTTGCTGGATGACAAAAACTGATTATTAGATGCATATACACATTATGGTTCAAACTTTATGATGCATATATGCTCATTTGAACCATACAAAGATTTCTATAGATTCTGCAGAAGTATACTTCCAGAACTATATATGCTTACGGTTCACATTTCTCTCTCTATCTACAGAACAAAAGCACCGGAGAACTTAGTTTCTTAACTTTCTTCATGAACTTCGCCGGGTCCATAGGTAAGAGGGCTCCCTTGTTGGATGACTCTTCTATATTCCATTTGATGTGTGATATTTTCTTGTCTCGTAATACATGTTTGTTTTGCTCGCAGTGAGAGTTTTCACCAGCCTCCAGGAAAAGGCTCCACTAAGCAGTATCCTTCTCAGATAATCTTTACTTCTTATTATGCATGCTGAAATCATCATACAAACACAATTTTGTCATATATGGTATTATTTACTCTATGAAAAGCTTTCCTTTTCCTCAACCGTTCCATAGTTCTTACCGGTTTTGCTCTTGGAGTCGTCACCAACGGAAGCATCCTGACGCAGATTCTCTTGTATTCTAAGCCTGCTGCAGCAAAGGAGAAGAAAGCTAATTGATTAGAAAGATGTCCTAAATCAAATACTGGTGTTGTAGGCTCCAAAAAGAGATTAGTCAATGTTGCAATTACGGTCTTTTTCTTCTTTTAATATCACTGTGCAAGGATGTTCAGACTTTACCCAGCTACTACATTATGTTATTATGGGTTGGACTTGAATCTGATAGTGAAGTAGCTGTTTTAGGTCTGATTGATTCTTTCTTATGTTGTGATATTAGCTAAAATCTGAAACTACAAAGGTGCATTAATGTCGTTGATCTGCTGACCAAGATCCAAGTCCGATCGACCTTTGGGTTTGGTCTAATGTATGTTTATGTTTCATTTAGATATGCATCTGATTAACTCTGACGATATGATGTGAAGACACTTGCATTGACAAAGAACACAAGCATTCTAAACAATTTCTGAATCAATCAATATAACAACAAAAAACAACTGCTACACAATACGAAGCACACTTTTTAAAATAGACATAAAAAACCGTCAAACTCAGATTTCATACTCTTGAATGTGTAGGAATTGAGTGGTTTCCACATCCTTGCATAGTCTCTAATCATTCCGGGACCTGCTACGACTTCCCAACCTTTTCAGTGCACAAACAACTAAGTTTCCCCGACTCATAAAACCCAATCGTGACTTAAACGAGGTTGACCGGCTGGTGCTACCAGATGCAATGCCTAGGGTTGGTATTTGGAGTCTGGGTGGAGGGAACTCAACTGCATCCGCCTGTGCTCCACCTTCATTGACCTCGGCAATTGGTGTCTCGGGAGTATCTAAATTGACAACAAGCAACGCCCTTCTTGTCCTTAACAGATCAGCTCCTTCGGTGGTTACTCCTCTACACTTCTTAACCTTCACTTTTAGCAGATTCGGGCATCCGGTCCCAAGAGCTTTGATTCCATCATCAGTAATGGGGCAGTTCTTGATGCAAAGCTTCCGCAATGCCAAACATTTTTCAGCAATACAACATAGCTCGGTGTCACCTACAGTATCACTTCCACACAATGCCAATCGCTCCAAGTTAAGACAATTTGAGACAATTGCTTCCAAACTTAACTTCGTAGGGTTCACACCAATCAAAACCAACTCCTGCAAATTCCAACAGGATTTAGCAACTACTATAAGCCCTTCATCGCCAATTCGATTTGTCTTCCATCCATCAATGTGAAGCTTTCTTAGAAGTTTACAACGTTCAGCCACCAAAGCCAGACCAGCATTCGTGCAGTCAGGAGTTTTCACAAGGTGCAGAACCTCAACACCCGAACATTTCGATAACGCAGTTAGACCCAAATCACTCATCTGAATCCTCTCCAAATGTATCTCAACAATAGCATTAACCTGATTACCTACCGCCTGAAAAACCCGATCCCAATCCCCTGAACATCTGAAAATCTTCAAAGTCCTAAGACCTTTAGCTCCGCTTAACAACGGAGCAAAACACTGACCATTATGCAGCTCCTTTAAGCAAATCATCTTCAACGAACCCACAGCTGCTCCCGGGCCTATAAGCTCAACACCAGCACCAGCTACATTATTAATTCCGCGTAACCGTTTCACCGACAATTCCTCTAGACCTAAACAATTATTCAACAAAGCATTCACTCCTTTAACCCCAAACCCACAAGATCCAAAAGATACTTTCTTTAAACTCCTACAATTCCCAGAGAAAGCAACCATCCCTTTATCTGAGATCTCGCGGCAACCGCGCAGCTTCAACCGCGTCAGATTCCGACATCTAGCCGAAATCATAACGAATGCGTTATCACAAATACCAAGAGATCTACGGTCACTTCTAAGAACAAGCTTAGTAACAGAATCAAACCGAGAAAAGAGAGAAGGTATGACTGAGATAAGATCTGATTGAGCTTTGAGAGAAAGACGATGACGACACTGTCCTTCAATCGTTAACCACCGACGACACACAAGTGAGCAACGTTTCCGGTCGGCGCAAGTTAGCGATTGGAAAATCAACGATAAACATTCGTCTGGTAAGTTAGAAGTACAATCGTACGGCTCATCGGCACCGGAGTTATGTTCGCCTTCATTAGGTAGTACCGGAGAAGTGAAGCTAGCTTTAGATCGCCGGAATGTGGAAGTGGATTGGCCCATTCGACGGCGATGCGGTTCACAGTGTTCCCGCCTACTCCCTCCGGTTTTGGATAATTGTTGCCAACAACTTTTTATTTTTTTCACAAGCTTCAATAGTTTTTAAGGGATTTGGAGAAATAAATGCAGCCTGTCAGTAAATTTTTGAAATGTGATCGATTAGAGGACGAGCTACTTATGCCACAAATCGAAAAACAAATGATCACTTATGTCTCCGTTATGTTTCGTAATTTATTATTGAATTTCTTGTATCTGAGGAAATGACTAAATACTCTTACGGTCTTACCAATAGCATTAAACCACGAATCCCCGTATTTGATCCAAGCCCAACGAAAATGATAATCCGACTCAAAACCCAGAAAAATCCCAATTAATTTACCCTAATTCCCTCATTTTCTCTAAGTGTTTGAATATGTAGGATACAAATTAAATGATGATGATGAAGAAAAAGAGAGAATCAGTGATGTCGATGCTGATACTGAGGTATAGTTTTGAATTGTTTTAGAAATATATAATAAATTTTGGAATGGTGGTTCAGAAACAATTAGTACAACTTTGTAATATAATGTGGTATTGATAGTTTCTGGATGACTGGAACAACTAAATGCGTGTATGTGTTTGAATATGCAGAATACAGATGATGATGATTCCCAACCACTGCCGCCAAGGATGATGTTCTTTGGTCCAACTAAGTACACCAAAGTTTGTAAGGTAGGAACTAGGTGTAGTGTGGGCCAAACTATGGCAATGATAGAGAAATTGGATTCAGAGTTGAGTTGGTTTAGTAAGCATGATCAGTTTAAGCATATATTCCACATGCCTAAAGAACCAAATCACATGATTCAAGGCATATGGATGTTTTTGTTTTGCACCACTAGCACGGAGATTGTGAGAGAGTGGTGGTTTGTGGTGAATGTAGTGCTTATAAGGTGTTGTTTGAAAGAACATACGTTGTTGACCGGATTGGACTACCATGAATACACCCAAAAAGTATGAGAGTTTGGGTAGTGTGAAGTGTGTTAAAAGAATGTTTGAGAGGGCTGAGAGAATTAAAATTAAAAACGTGGAAGAGAAGCTGAATGAGATGATGAGTATGAGCTGTTTAGATAGGAATAAGATGACAATCTTGTTATTTATATGCAAGGTTGTGAAAGACGAGTCTAAAAGTGATGGAAACATAGTCTTTCCTTTGAAGGGTTGTTGACGACGTGGAAGCTTGTGAGAAAATTTCGTAGCGTCTAAAAGGGATCCGGAGACGTGATTGCCGAAACTATCGCGGACGCGGTAGAAATTATAACCCACAAAGCATGAAGTCATACTAATTGATTCGTTCTAAAAAAAGATCCGAGAGAAAGAAAAAAAATCCAAGCAAGTACCTCCCAGAAACGTGAGAGTGCTTGTTTCAAGTGTGGCACTAAGGGACATTAGTCTTAAGTATGCCGAACGTATGCTCTGTACAAAAAATCAGCTAAATCATTACTTATATCTATGTATCCAAATAACTTTACCATTAATTCTCTACTATCCATATAACCACACACGATTAAAAGATTTTAACATTAATTATAAAATAAAAAATATCCATACTATGTTCCACAATTGATAATATAGATATTTAGAAGAGTTGGTTAAGATTTAAAATTATGATTCTCCTATTATATTTGTTTGATTTTTTTAATTTTTTATATCATCATATAATATATAAGTTCATATAAAATCTCAAAAAAAATTCTGCATATATTGTGAATCAAAATTTTAAAAACGGACATATATTACTCAATTAATAAAAAACAAAAGTGTGTGTTCAACGTTCTACATCGGCTAAAATGTTTAGCCAATGATATTCAAAGTCATATTATAATTAAGATAAAAATAAATAAAAAATCCGAATGAGAATGAAACTAACTTAACAAGCATCCAAATCTAAAAGTTTCTATACGTTTTTAATTCGTTTTTAGTTAAACTTTGAATTTTACCGAATATAATAAATTTTTAAACTTTAAAAAAAATTTAAATATTAAGAATGATATATTTAAAATCAATAAAAAGTTTGAAATATTACGAATGTTTATACATATAAAATATTTAAAATAACATGGGCGGGTTATCTTGTGAGACAGGGTAATATGACATAGACAGGTTTGATTTCATTAGTAAAAATTTAAAATACCATTAATCTGATATTTTTATACGTGTTAAACTCTCATTTTATTATTTTTTAACACTACCAATATCAGACATATCGAATCAGAGTGATATAATTAAGATTGTATAAAACAAAAATTATTTTGCGGTATACCGCAGATTAAATTCTAGTAATGTACAAATGCATTAGCAGTCTATGTCTTATATATGCAACTGATTTTTGGATACTAACTCCGACATTATAGTTTAAACAGATAAAAAATATGTTTTTCCATAGTGTAAACAATTTTTTTTTTTGAATTTAATGTTAGTTTATTTTTTAAAAAATAAACGGTTTTACAACTAGTGAAGCGTTTGATTGATAGAAATTTAGAAAGAATTTCGAGAAATTATTAGGGAAAATTACGAAAAAAATCTAAAAACAAACCCAAATTATTAATCTAGGCCATATCTTTTAGAATTTAAGATGTACACTAACAAAGACAAAATTAGCCTTATGATATGATTTAACATAATAACAAATTATAGCCACGTTAGTTAGAGATTTTTTTAAAATTTTTATTTTTATTGATTATGATAAATTTTGAAGATAAAATCTGAAGAATATGCCAAACTAATCTAGAATAATTTTTAATAATATAACTCTAAATTAACGTTTATAATTCTATCTAGCCCACGTTAGTTAGAGATTTTTTTTGAATTTTTATTTTTTATTGATTATGATAAAATTTGAAGATAAAATCTGGAGAATGTGCCAAACTAATCTAGAATAATTTTTAATAATATAACTCTAAATTAATTCCCTAATCCTATGTGAACTATGTTGTTAGTTACGTATATATAAGTGTTTATCAAACCAAACTCCATTAAAAAACGATTTGTCAGTTCTAAAGAAAAGTAAGTATTGTGCATAGTTTCATATTCTTTATAACGTTTATGTACATAAATTTCTTGCAAAGTTATTTAAAGATGCAGTCTTTGCTAAAGTTCTTTGAAAAAGTTATTTAGTAGAGTATAATATAGAAAGTTTTGCACAGTTATTATATAAAGTTTAATATATATTTGTTTGGTAAAGTTTGTTGGAAAACTGTTACGTAGATCTAGTTTAATAGAATTATTAGGTAAAGTTATTGAGAAAAGTTGTTATGTGTTTTACGTAGATCTATGTACGTGCATGAGTTGTTGTTATTAGGAGCGTATTTAAGTTATTCCATGAAGAGTTGTAACGTAGATCTAGTTTTTTGGAAAACTATTTTTGCAAACTGTTGTAGATCTAGTAGTAATGAGAAAATTTTGAGTTGTTGATAGTTGTTTGGTAGATCTTTAAGTATATTTGTTTCATAAAGTATTTCAATATAGTTAATTATCAAGTTTTTTCATAAATTTAGTTTCACACAGTTATTATATAGATCTTAAGTATAGTTGTTCCTTAAAGTTTTAAGGTAAAGTTAATTTACAAATTTTTCTAATAATTTAATTGCACACGATTATTATATAGATTTAAGAATACAGTTGTTTGCTATAGTTTTTAGGTAAAGTTAATTTGCAAAGTTTTCTAATAATTTAGTTTCACACAATTATTATATAGATTTTAAGTATAGTTGTTTGCTAAAGTTTTTAGGTAAAGTTATTATGTAAAGTCAGTTTCGTAAAGTTATAATGTAGAGTGTGAAACTAATTTGTAAATTTTTTTTTCCACAGAAACATGGTACATACAATTGCAATTGCAGTTTTTGGTGATTGGGCGCTAAAGAACGTATGGCATTTTACAGTAGATCAAACCAAGGGCTGCAAATTACTCGTTCTAGTGGATGATATGTCGTATGCCGGACTACTTCAGATAGCTAAAGAAAAATACCAGTTAGATAGTTCAGTGCATAATGTTGAACTTAGTTATGCACTACCTGAGATAATGTTAGGCAATATGTCAAATGAAACGCCTCCTCCTGTGTTTCTGACAAGTGATCGACAAGTAAGGAGTTTCATTGAAATTAGCAAATCTAACCCTGTCCGACTTTGTGTTTCAATGAAAAAAAAAGGCGAAGAGAATCGTAAAGTTTCGCTCGTCAATGAGTTATTTGCTATGAGTGGTGAGAATCATAAAGTTCAGGTCGCTGATGAGTTATTTGTTACTCGTGGTGAAATTAGAGATCATGTTGATCTTGGTGATCATTATGATAAAAACGATGGTGGTGACAACAACAATATTCTTTCTTCTAACAACACGGACATTAAAGTGGGTGAATACTTTAAAAGCAAATATGAAATACAGCAGAGGTTGTGGATGCTTTCAGTAAAATATAAGTTTGGCTGGAGAATTTCAAAATCAGATCCTACAAAGATTGTTGTTGTGTGCAAAAATAATGGGTGTTCTTGGATGGTGCGAGCAACCACAAAGGATGAAACAACAGAGTATTTCTGGATTAGAAAGTACATTGATGTGCATACATGTTCTGCTGAACAAAGAAGTTTTGCGATGCGAGATTGCGTACTTGTTTGTCTATCCACCCCACCATTTGATTCAGTGTATTTGGTTGTTCCCCGTACCACCGTCCATTTCTCTCCCTCCATAGTGTAAACAATTTTGAATGTGCTGCGACAGTAACTTTTATCAATTTTGAATGTGCTCTTGTCACAAGCAAGTTCTGAAACAATTTCCTTTTGTTTGAATTGTTTGTATAACACAATTGCACAATGCTATATGATCTAGTTAAAGTTCGACTGTGTTGCTAATATGTTAAAAATGTTGGATTCTCATATATCTAATCTAACAAAATCTAAAATTTCCGAACTAACGAGTCTCCAAAAAAACTAGTAACTTTTAAGTTGAAAAAAAATTCATTTTCTTAGGCGACATTACACAACATATGGATTCATCGAAGAGTTAAAAAGACAAGAAAAAAAAAAAAGACTAAAACAGTTTGCATCTTCACTCTCAACATCTCTATCAGCCTTTCTACTTAGTGTACCATATCACCAGACAAACAAAAAATTGGTCATTGGTCCTGTTCTTCAGACAAACAACTCCATTGATTTCAAGTTCCAAAAATATGTCTGTCCACTGGTTGAGAATCCAAACTCTTGACAACATCCATCCACGGTTTCTCTATCACCAGGATTGAGTTTTTAGAAAGGTGACCCACGAATAAAACTGGATGCTTTGAGGGTAAGATTTCAAAGTTCTTTCTCTCGTTAGTCTTACCCTCTAACTGATACTCATCTAACCGACGTTTTCGGTTTGTACCCTTTCCCTTTTTCAAACCCAAGTTGACAAGTTTACCTTCTAGCGTTTTAGAAAGATTGCCGTTTGGTAAATCATTCTCTTCATCTTCTTCCACAGGCTTCCCAAAGTCGATTAAACACTTCGCCCTGCTATGCCAACAGGATATGAATTAAAAAGGTTTTATGTATAAAGGCAGATGCAGATTGACTAGGCTAAATAGTGCAATCAGTACCTGGAACTGTAAACGATCACAGACGATGAATTTGGTGATGGGGAGAATGAGAGTCCAAGGACCTCCCCGGGAAACTCTTGATACCTCTTTGGCAGAACATATGTGTGTAGCAACGACCACTTGCCTAACTGTCTAGCTTCTACATCAAAAGCAAAGACCTGGTTCGAGGAGGTTGAGATCACAAGCACATTGTTATTCCAGGGATGAAATCCAGCAGCCGCAACAGATGCACCATCGAGTCTTGATATGAACCAATGCTGCCTGTGAATTAAAGCCGACACCAGAATTAATTAATACATCAATACAAAAGTAAAATCTTCTCGAGCATGATAAATAATATTAAACAAGCAAAGCTTCACAAAGTTCCCACCTTTGTGTTTCGAGGTTGAATACATAGATGTCCCCAAAGCAATTGATAGCAGCTAGCCACTGACCATCTGAGCTAGTAAACAATTTTGTTATTGGAGGCTCCTTGGGTGGAGCTTCACCTTCATGCTCCTCCCGAGATGGTGTAAATGCATATACTAGTTCCAAACTACTTATGTCAATAGTCTGCCAAGAAAATATGATACACAAAGTTAGGGTAACTTCAAAACAATACACATAATTTGAACATGAGAATTAGATTAATAGCAAAAATCCAGCACGTACATATATCCTTCTGTCATGCCCTGCTATTATTAGGCGAGAGCAGTCCGAGCTGAAAATCATGGAATGTGCAAATGGAAGTTCAGGAAGTCGCCTTCTACTAACACTCCATGGACACTTTGTAAATTCATTTTTCTTCAGCTCAAACAGACTGGGGCCAATTTGGTCAGAGTAAGCAAAAAGTGATCCGGTGTTAGAAATTGCACTGCATATGATCTTTCGGGCATCTCTACTTTTAACACGAACCAATGACTTTGTTGAGGCACGTCCACTAGAATCACTGCT